AGACGGACGATAGCTGTGTTCCTCATATTATTCTTCGTTCCGTAAGTCAGCGTGATTGTAAGGCAGTGAAGCGTCAGTTCAACTGGCCGATGTACTTCTGTTGTTGCTGATGCTGATGATACCACTGCTAGAATCCAAGAATTTCGGGAGCTATTCGGTGTATAGTTATTGAAGATGGATGGTGAAAATTGGGCCTTGCACATGAGACAGCGTTTGTGATGCAATTAGTAGGAAAGGAAGGTAAAAAACGATTAGAATTTAAAGAAATCCTTGGTCACAGTATGACAACAAGATATACACTGGTCAAAAGAGATCTGAGTCATGCGAATGCTTCAAATATGGTCACACCTCTGCTACTCTGTATGCTGTTCGAAGTGTACCCCCTGCCCATGGGAACACAGCGTTTTGAACAACACACCGTGAGCAATCATCAGGTAACTTGTCATGCTATTGTAAACCTGTTTATTCTTTCGGTGGACACAGTATACACAATGATTTAAGCTAGTTGGCTGTTCCAAGATCTATCATTATGCACGTTAGCTAGAGGTGGGCAGCACCACAGCTACTGTGCCGCAATATATAAAGAGAAAAACGGAAAAAGTGAAACAGGTGCTAACCAGCTGAGCTACCGGTAACGGATGGGCATCGTTCCGGTAAGCTACCAGCCGGCTACTATGCATCAAACAAAATTACTATGCAAAGTTATATTAGGCTAAATAATGAGATGGTGGTTAAACGGGGAGCCTAAGAGGGATGGGGTGGTACAAAGTAACTCACAGCACGAACGCCACTGAGGTCGGCTCCTATGCATATCAGCATGTGTAGCCAGCCAGACGTCTTCATCTTCTTTCGGGCCACAACCAGGGAGCCGAGATGCTCCAACCGAGGCCAGCTCAGAAGTGAGGGCCATCATTTCTCTCGACCAAGTCATCGCTTGGCCATCCCTCCTCTTCTTCCATCCACACCCACGGTGAGCAAACAACGCACGTCGCGGGAGTCGGTGGGCTGGCATGCTTAACACGTGGCCGAGCCATCGGAGCCTGGTGTGTGAAATGGCGGTGCTGAGCGGTTCATTCCCTTTTCCTGTGGCGTAAACAAGGCGTCGAACACGCTCGTTGCTCACGCGGTGTTCCCACCAGATGTGAGCCAAACCGCGAAAGCACCGATGGTCGAACGTGAATCTAAGGGGCCAGGTTTCACAACCGTACAATAGGGTCGAACGTACGGCTGTATCGTATACTTTATCCCTCAGGAAGAGAGTGATGTCGCGCCGCCGCCATAAATAACGAAGGTTAGCAAAAGCGCCTCGAACTTTTACTATACGTTTCGTGATCTCATCTTCAATCCCATGAGCGCTGATACAAATTCCCAGGTAGTTGAATTTTTAAACGACTTCTAGCTGATCCCCACCAAAGGACAACGTAGGAGGCGGTCCAAGCCAGTCTTGGAGGATGGCTTTGCACTTCGAGGGTGCGAAGCAATGTCCGAAGTGACGGACAGCCAGTGCTAATCTGTCCAGTGCCGTTTGGCACGCTTGTGAGCTGTCACAGATTAGAGCAATATTATCAATATACTCTAAATCAAGAAGTCCTTCTCCTGGGAGCAGATCCACAACTTCTAAGTCATGTGCTATAAACGCGATTTCCATGGCTTCGTCAATAGGAAAGGTGACAGGTGATATATATATATATATATATATATATATATATATGAAGCAGTTCAAGAGCTAGATATGCAGCCACCAAGAAACCACGGGAATCAAAGGGACATAAAATTTGAAAGAAATAGAAGGAAACGTTTTTAGTGTGTTTTTCATACGCTGGTTTTTTGTCATTTTCAATGTTGAAGCAGTAAACAGGTGAATTAGTACAATTTAGTACACAATTCATCCACTGTTTCAGATTACGGGCTATGTATTCAAGCATGTTAAGCCATTGGCACCCGTCATCCTTGGGTCCCCATCCTGGAGGCGACATCAGCGATTTCACGTGCTGTCTCCAAGTGGAAGGCTGACCGCTACGCGGTCGCCTCCAGCCCGGTCCTTGACAAGCGAATACAGCACGGCGCTGTAATTTCTCAGACGCCATGCGTAGGACGTGAGAAAACCATCTCAACTAGCGCAGCGAAACCAGCTGGGAATCCGAGCATTCCCCAAGACCCGACATCGAATGTCGTCATAGTGAACTAGGTGTTGCCACCACACACGAATGATCCTCCTCAAGCAACCTTTGTCGAAAGCAGAGATGCGAGGCTTGTCCTCCACGCGAATTTGCCAGGAGTCGCTACCATACAACAATACTGAAAGAACAATAACACTGTAAACACGGCTATTTATCGAGAACGAGATGTCACGACGCCACCACAAGTGACACAGATTGACAAGTGGTGATCGGGCTTCAGCGATGCGAAGAGAATCTTTATTGGTGATAGTGTTTCCAGCAGAAACAAGCTCCCAAGGTATACGAAACCAGCTACCTGTTCAAGTTGTACATCTTCAAGGGTGAGCACAGGAGCAGATGTGGACCAATCCTGGAGCGACACTCTATATTTCGATGGGGCGAAGCTCGTGCCATACCTAGGTGCTTCAGTCGCCAAACCATCCAGATTGTGGTACATACCGGGTGGATGGTTACCAAGTATGGCGATATCATTAGCATGATCTAAGTCGGTCGCGCGCTCCCCTGGTAGAACCTCTAGGCAGAAATGTTGGATACCTAGAGCTCTTGGTAGGACGTCTTCGATTGAAAAGTTGAAGACAAGTAGTGACTTAGGGCAGCAATGTTGCACATCGCTATTGACAGCGAAGGGCAAGGAAATCTTGCCGTAGACCCTCACTCTGCCTGGGCTACGCAGGTAAAGCACACGTATGACGACGGTGTTCTTATCTGGTACTCCGTTCTTTAGCCAGCAACACCATAAAGCAGGTCGATCAACGGAGTCGAATGCAGTGCGTTTGTCTAGGAATGCAAAGATAGTGGGCCTGTGATGAATGTGGCGATGTTCGAGGAGCTGGCGGAGCATAAAGATTTGGTCCATGAATCCACGACCGCGACGGAAAGCAGCTTGTTCATCTAGGCAGAATGATTCAGGTATTGGGGATAGTCTACGGAGTAGAATGGATGCCAATAGCTTAAAGGCAATCGAAATAAGACTAACCCCGCGGTGATTTACACAGGAAGCACAAGCGCCTTTCTTGAAAATCGGGACAATAACTGATTCGCCACAAGAGGATGGCAGTTCCACTTTATGCCAGAATTTTGCGAACAACGAGGTTAGCTGGTTAATGATAGCCATGCCACCGTACCTAAACAGCTTCGGAGGAACTCCGTCTGAGCCGGCAGCCTTGAATCGCTTGAAGGGTCGAATCTTGTGGCAAACTTCCGCTTCACTGGATGGATTCAGTGGGACGATCCTTGGTGCTGCATACATTGATGGACGGGGGAGGTTAGATGAATTGCGAGTGAAAGTGCTCAGACCAACAGCCCATACGCTTCGATTGATCGGTGATCGGAGATTCATCCGCCTCGCAAATAACCCCACTAACACCAGGTTTCCTGAGACCAGTGGACCGAATGAGCTGGAAAAGCCTTCGAGTGTTTCTAGAGAAGATAGTGGTCTCCATCTCTAAAGCGTGCTCAGACCATCAAGCCCCACGATCCTTGCGCAGGTTTTGCCTGAGAAGCCCGTTGCTAGGTTGCCGCAGCTCGTTGCAATTTGATTCTGTCGAGATATCTGCGGTGGTCGAACAGCTCCAGAGAACGATTACAGATCCAAGCCTTTAAAGCGGTGTCTCGCTGGGTCGCAGCTTGACTATCTGGAAGTGGTCATTACCTTCAGTATACAGGCCCAGTGTTGCTCAATATCTTGCGGTGGATTGCAGTTGAATACCTATGTCAGTGAAGACTGATAGCTCCTCTGGAAGGAGGAATCAGTTAATCTGTTTACCTCAGCCTTACTGTGCTTCGTTTATGTGGACCATCCGAAACATATGCAGGTTATCGCGCCGACTATCGCATGATCTGAATCAATGCGGGTGGAGCAAAAAAGACCTGTAATCCCGTACGCTGCCACGCCATGGGAACCAGATACCTACATCAAAAGAGTACGCCGAAATATAAATGCGCTTCCTACTTGTGAAAATGTGCCTTCTATTTCTTCTCAAAAATGATGAGAGTGACTTGACTTTTTGTATATCCTTTTCGTACACACGTACATATGTGTAAAAAGGGGCTTTAAAATTTTATGTGCAAATGTGCGCATGCTCTCAATTGCATAATTAACATCCAACTATCAAAATCTCTTGTTAAGTTTCCTAAATGATCCAATAGGTCACCATCGATTCAAATAATATTTTTGGAGCCAAACGCTATCTAGAAACGAAGGGGATATTGATACAGGTAGGTGGCAGTGTTTGCGAAAATTAACTGCTGTTGGGAATACGTTAGCTAATGGTCAGTTTAACTCTTCTCCTAGTGTGAGCTTCTTTTGCGCTCTTCTAAAGCTGATAGCATTAACTTGTGAGCAGAGAATAGGCCTAGTTGAGAGGTACTCAATAAGCAGAAGTAGCCGAATGACAAATTGGAAAGTTGAAGTGTTTCCAGTGAGCCCATAGAGGCTGGATACTGATAGTATTCCGCAATTATTCGTTCTGTACTGGGGCTCAGTAGCTGAGAGGATTCCCCCTTCTAGCTAACGTGCATAATGATGATGATGATGGGGCTCACCTGGTTGAGAGGCGAGTTTGTTAGCGTATACTGAGTTGGGTTACACATCTCGCCAGAGTTGTGATAATTCTGTTCGCAGATAATTAATTCAATTCAATTCAGGCTTTGCTCAGCTAGGCTGCACGAGTGTTCCATCTGTCTACGTTGGCCCGGTACGCGAAATCTGGCGATGCGCAAATTAGTCTGTCATGCAACAATGTTTGGTCCCAAGTTACTGCTGGTAGTTGGATTAAACAACAACGAAAGCAGCGCACATCGTGTTATCTCTTGACTCACTTTCAAAGCGTTCACCCGGACCAAGCTTCTTTCGTGCTCAACTAGCGTGAGCAAATGTGGGATGGATCCAGCATTGAGCGCGGTGTATCTGCCATGATTGGTCGTGCATATGCTGTGGGGTAGAGAAAGCTGGAATGGATGCACTCTCCACTTGAAATAGACTCACAAGAATCCGCATGAAACGACAAGCTTGACCACGTGTCCAAAGTGAGTCTCAATGAATCAAATGCTTTCCCGCGAACCACCATCACTTTGCTAGAGTCTAACTCCGCTGGATTCAGTATGGCATTCCAAAGTGGTCTTTTTCGCAAGTTATAATACTGGACGGTGAATTATTGCTGGTAAAAGTCTATATGTTCACCGAATGGCTCTGTCATGGATTGCAAGCATAATCCATGAGATGGTTCGAAGTTGATAGCTACTTTGATGTCAGCTTGCACCAGTGGAATTCCTGCTGGCTGTGTTCTGCCTACCCATCACTACTGTTATCTTTTGTAAGAAAATCTAATCGTGAGTTTCTCCTTCTGCATTTGCAAGAGACGTTTAACCGTGTGCCTCATCATTAGAGTCGCACTCTATCATGGATCCATCACTTTCATGGGTACCGTCTTAGTCGTCAAATCAAACATAGTTTGTCTATTTTGATAAGTAAATTTCTTCTCCCAACTTATTACTGGTGCAGTCATGCAAGGAAGTGTTCTAGGCCATCATCATTTGCTGTATAATCGTGCGATGTGTTCGCTGACTTTGCACATGGTCGTGCTTCTATTTTTCCAGTCGTCATAATGCTCATTCAAGCATTACACGTAAATACACTTCAGTTTGCTTTGGCTATGATTCAGTCAGACCTATATCAACTGGACTAATGGTGCAGTATGTGATCAATGACATTTTGGGTAGATAAATACAGTGTTGTCACGCCTAAATGCTTCCTTCTCCGGAATTCCCTTACGTTATACGCGGCACATTTCTATCGAGAATTCCCGAAAAGACGGTTAAAGACCTTGTCACAAGCTATGCTAGCATCTATGATTTCATATAGCAAGTTCCGTATCCTTTGGCAATATCCAAAATATGATAGCATACAGATGTAGGTCCTCTCATGTGAATGCGGCTAGGATAAAGCCTTACAAGGTATGTGTCCACCATCAGTTGGAATATTGCCAAATTATCTACGCAAGTCAGAGAACTTCGCGTTTTGCGAAACCTCTAATAGGGGAACATCACCTTTCACCTGCAGTGAAAGTTGCTGCCAGCTGTGTAGCAAACCGTTATGGATTTGACACTTCAAGTTCAAACAAGTATTCCTTCATAAATTGCTTCATAATCTAGCCGCGCTCCACCGATAGCTAGACAAACGTTTCACGGTTACAACAGAGATGAAGCTCGTGGGATCTTGATCCAACGTGACAGCGGATCGCTGATCCGACTCGATGTCTACGTCTCCGGTTAACCCTCAGCACAGTAATCTAGCGTGTGTCAGCCACACTACCTATTTGATCGACTATCTGGAGATCAGTCTGTTCGGACAGTCATCATCCTCCGTATACACGTTAGCTGGAGGTGGGAAACTCTGCAGCTATTGTGCCGTAATACATAGGGAAATGATAAAAATCCAACAGAGACACGCCGGCTAAGACACCAGTAAAGGATTGGCATCGTACCGGCAAGATAGCATCCGGCTAGTGTACAGCGAAGTAGTTATATTCTGCCTAGGAGATGAGTTCGTGGTTGGTGGGGAGGCCAAGCAGGAGGCGGAAGGTAAAAGAAACAACAAAATGTCGCTGAGGACGCTTCCCAGCCATGTCAACATGTGCATCCAGCCAGACGTATTCATCGTCTCTCGGACCCCAACCAGGGATCTGAGGGGCTTTAACCGAGCTCAACTTGGAACCGTGTGCGTTCTTCCCCTTAATTAACTCATCGTTTGGGCTCCCCCCTTCTTCTGCTCGGATAGACAGCAGCAAACGATATTATCCGGATTGAAGATCAAGATAACACGCACTGCTTTCCTACGGAAGGATAAACCTGAGACCTTGCAAGTAAACCTTGATTATGGTACGGCAAACTGCTTTCAAGATGCATGAATTGGAATAGAAGGCTTTAACGGCTGCAGAAAATTGCATCCCAAGTTTGTCGCCGAAATCTAAGCGAGATAAATAACTGTAATAATGCGATCGATTCCGTACGGTTCTGAACTAAGTGTACGGCTATTAAACTCGTCAGATGTGTAGAGGTGTTGGCACATAAGTACGACAGACGCGCGCGGATCGTAGAGAAAGCAGCAGCCGTAAGAGCTGTATAACCAGGGTCAGAAGTATCACTGCCAAGAATTAGATGCACAACCTCCAACTAAATTGCGGCACAGAGCAGCCAAGCCGAAAGTGAGGACAATTATGCACAGTTAGGCGCCCAGACACGAGGGACAGCTTCTAATGATGCGTTCGCAGCGCATGCTTCATTCAATCCACGTGATAGATCCCGTATTACTGAAGGACCGAGAAAACGCGCTCCCGCTGTTACCGCTCACATAACAGAAGCACGGTCCACCGTAGTCTCGACCACTGTCAAACCAGATGCAGTTAGTTCTACACAACCACTGCTGAACCTAGAACACCATCTGCTGTCCTACGATAGCAAGTAATCACACCTTCCTCCAAAATGGAGAACACCAGACAAGATCAGAATTCTTTAAATATTATATGCTTCAATATGCCAGAATCCGAGACGAACTCGATAAAAGACAAGCTACTAGATGAATGGAAACAATGGGAATCTGTTTCAGCTAATAATTGTCCAAGCTAAACCGGCCAATTTGATGCGTCTTGTCCGCCACACAAATTCCCTACACTACGGTGAACTCCGGTTACTCCAGGTAATGCTTCAGACGGGAACTGATACAGAGGCAGTTCTTCTGTCAGTCACTCGCATCCGTACAATCCCATGCACTACTCGAAAGTTTTCAGGTGTTCCTTGAGGCGAACATAAGAAACGTAAACAAAATTCGGGTGCGTTCCGTAAACAAAAAGATGTACAATCGATCCTTGCCCACGGTATCACCGAGCTTCAGACATCGAGCGAGCTAGCGGAGAACCGCTTGACAAGGATGAGTGTTGCTTCATCCGTGAGATGCTCTCAATCGAAAACGTTATTCTCGGGTACGGTTATCTCGCAGCTACAAAGGGAGTGGTCTCCGAGTGATGGAAGTAACAGTACTATCCAAATCGATGACGGAAAAGGCGATCGAAATGTGGCAAAAATCGCAAAAAATGAGACCATCCGAAAGCGTATAAATGCGGTAGACCCCCCGGCCACACAGTTGGTGGCATCCGGTTTTGGATTTGCCTGTCACTGTGGCCAGCCACAGGACGACTGCGCCTACAGAGGGACCGTGGGTGGCTTGTGCTGCAGCACACACCGCTCCAACCACACACCCCATATCCAGTGTAAACCGGAAGGAATTAGACCGGGAGGCATGTGGATGGGAGCCACGTTTCATCAACAGAGCCGGCCCACACTCCTTCACAAGCAAACACAAACACGCTGTATTTGGGGAATCAAGCGTACATAAGGCGGTGGCTGGATCGTAGTCCGCTCCATACTGGATGGAGTCACTCTTCAAGCCTATAACGGCCACAAGGACCGTGCATCCCATCCCTTCCAGCAACGACCAACTGTCTCCTAGAGCCACTTTGGACGAGGTAGTGGGTAATAGGCAGGTAGGCACCTTGTCAACATGCACACCAAGCGAAGCCACACCGGGGATATCAGGCAACAGCCAATCACTTGGAAGAAAGACGACTAGAATAAATCGAGTAATGCATAAGGAAACGTGACATAAATCTTAAATTAGTGCGCATATGAAATAAGTATTTTACAGAGGAATCTGAGATAAGTCCACGAGGTCAGAAAGTCTATTTTAGGGAAATGTCACAAACATGAAAATGTTATCGAAATTAACTACAATTGGCTTAAGCGAAGTGTGCAAGTTTATAGAAGAGAGTACTGGTAGACATTTACATGAGAAAGAAAAGCATTAGGACAAAATTGCAAACCCACCACCTGAAATAAAGAGACTTAGCATGCAAGCACGCGGTTAGTAAATCGAATGCAGCGTACCTACAAACGCTGCGCCCGTTCTGCCTACTTTCTCTACAGGACCCGTCGTCGCTTCGGTAGTGGTCCCGAGTGGCCTCGCTCATGGCTCACTAGGTCTGCCTGACTCACGCAATCGCGACCGCATGTTCTACAGCCCCATGCGCTTGATGTCGATGGAGAACAACCCATCGGTGCTTGCCGCTTCCGCACTTGCTGCTTCTTCTCTGCATGCATGAGGGCTTTCTCCCGCACTTCAGCAACTGCCTTCGTGATCAGATCGCGCCATGCACCACGATCAACCGCTTTCCATTCCCATGATCTGCAATCAAGATTAGAACGTGAGAGGCTCACTTTGATCATGTCCTGGTAAGGTAACCTTGGTTTCCCCATATGCCGCTTCCCAATACTCAGCCGGCCATAAGATAGTTGTTTCGGTATCCGCGTCGAATCCATACGGCTCACATGACCGAGCCACCTCAGATACCTCAGTGTAAGTATGCAGTCCACTGCATACATTACACTTTGTCGCAACAATTCCGTACCAGCAACTCTGTCACCCCAACTGATGCGCAAAATCCGTCGCAAGCACTGCTGATGGAACCGCTCGAGATGTCGCACATCCCGCCGGTACATCGTCCACGTTTCACTGCCGTATAGAAGAACGGACAGCACCCTAGATTTGTGCATCATCAACTTCGTGCCAATGCTAAGCTGATGGTTGTTCCACACTCGGCACTCAAGCTTCCCGAATGCCGCCGCTGCTTTTGACCCACGAATACGCAGCTCACTGTGTAGCTGCTGATCAGTCGACATCACACTCCCAAGGTAGCAAAAGTAGGAGGTGGTTTCCAATACTTCAGCACCAATGCAGATTAGCGGTACCACATTAAGGTTGTACCTCCGGTGAAGGCTGAAAGAGACAGACAGTTTTGCTTGTGTTGATGGTGAGCCCGAATTTGGCCGCTGTCGAAGCCAGAGCAATAGTCATGTGCTGCAACTCATCCGCGCTGTGAGCAAACAACGCACAGTCGTCAGCGAACAGCAACATACGGATAGTTGTCTCGCAGGCTAGAGTTCTCGCATCGAAACGACGGATGTTCAGCAAACCATCATCAATACGTTGCTCCACGAACACTGTGAGCACAATCCG